GAAATTCATGATAAATTTTCGTTTGGAATTTTTTGCAATTGATCTTGTAAAACTTGGGGTTTTTGTTTTGCGTGATTAGAGTTTTCTAACCATATACCATATGCATGCTTTCATTGAGTATTCCAAGAAAAATTCGAATTTGAATTTCTGGGTTTTATTACATGAAAGTTTAGAAAATTTCTCAAATTATTTTCAATCGATACATTGAAATCTTAAATTTCTTTGAGTTTTGAAAAACAAATTTTTAGTTATCTATTAACACAAAAATTGTTTGAAATCATTTTCTATATAGCGAAGGAATTTCGTTCATGAATGTATTATTATTAAATATAGGGTTCATATTATAAAAGTTTAAATCTTTCTTTAAATCGATCTTGTTTCATTGATGTAAAATGAAAATTGGTTGGGGAGTTTTTTGTTCCCTTGTTGTTTTTCCATTATTTTATGTTGTTTTTAATACAAAAATCACACATTTTCTTACCAAAAAAAATCATGACCAGTAGCTTGAAAAATCATTTGTAAACTTTCAAAAATTCTAAAAAATTGCTTCAAAATCTGCTATTTTGAGATGAATTAGATTAAAATCTTGTTGGGTTGTTGTTTCTGGGTTGTTTTGTGATGAAAATCACTAAAAAATCTGTTGTTTTTGAGCTTTGACGAAGCTCCTATGGCGAAACTCGGTTTCAAGCGGGTCAACCCACCAAAAGAAGAAGAAGACACTGCAATAGAGAAATCTCAAGAAAATTTAGGGGTTAGGGTGAGATTGTGAGAGAGACATTCTATTTATATTTCTCACTAAAAAGTCTCACGAAATCCACACAATAAAAAATCTATTAAAATCGTAAGATTTTTGAATACCACAAAATTATTTTTTCTTTGTTTAAAATCCTAATTGAATACCAACGGATTTAGACGGACTCTAAAGTAATCTTTTAAAATCCTAATCGAATACCACACGATTTTTTCAATCCTTTAAAATCCTAATCGAATATCAATGGATTGATTTGCCCAAAAATAATCCATTAAAATTATTTGAAATCCCAATCCAATACCTCCCTTGGTGTAATTTGTAAAAAAAATTTGTAAACGGATTCTTTCCTCATAATTTTTTATAATTATTTTAAGATTTTCTGCCATTTCATTATTTATTTATTTTTATTTTTGATACATCCATTTCATAACGTTGAGATCATGAATCAGAAGAAATTCTAAGGAACTGAGAAAATACTTATTCAAACCATGCATTTTGTTATAAAAGGATTTCATTATATGGTCATTCAATTACTAAATTATAACTCAATTTTGCTAAATCGCCAAAAATCGTAGCTAGATTCACAAACTATGCTGATAAAATGAAAATCATAAACTGTGTCCGAATTGAGAAAAACTAAAATTTATGTGAGTGAACATTAACTATAGCATTAAAAATTTAATACCTTTGTAGTCAATGCCAATCCGTTTATTCACGGAACTAGTTTCTTTCTTTCTTTCTTTTTTGAGATATTAACTAGTTTCAAATTTTAAAAATATAATCACACTTTGATATATTTTAAATATAGAAAAATTTATGTCTCAAAAAATATATATATATATACAAAAATTTAATATAAGGGTTTTAAGTAAAAAAAATTAAAGGGTTATCTTTTATTTATAAATGATTTTTAATTTCAATTTTTTCTTTTGTTATTTTAGATTTTGGACAATTACCAGAAGAAAATCTTTTTCACACCGGTAGAACTGAAAATTCAATATATTTTTCACTAAATTTAGAAAAAAATAATGTAATCAATTTTTACCATTTTATGGTTATTCTTCTCTAAAGTCCGACATTTTTCTATTTTTAAAGGAGTAAGTACTTCTATAATATCAAAGATATGCTCCGTACCACCCAATGGGTGCAGTTCAGTTGGTAACTTGGCGTTGAGTTAGTGGGGTTGGACATGTGTTCGATTTCTGCTGAATGCATTCTTGGGGAGGGGGCTGAACCTTTAGCCATCACTGATCACCCGCACTCCAGATTAGTCCCATAGCCGGCTCAAAGAGTCGAAGCTCGTGGGGATACCGAAGGGAGCCAACTCGCCTCAAAGAGGTAATTAGGGTTGGGTAACTCCAAAAAAAAAATATGCTCCGTACCTAAAATACCAGGGATATAATGGATTATTGACTTATAAAATTAGGAAGTCGATCTTGTTAGTGTATATGATCATATCATATCATGTGAAATTTTTTTTTTTTTTTTTGGTAAGTCAACAATGATGCCATCATCATTGATTTTTCTATGAATAGTTTGAATCTTTTGATTATATTAAAGAATATAATATCGTTATTATCAAATAATGTTATTATTAATGTTATTATTCTATCTTAAGAGTTGATTTCCACTAATTAATAGTTATTATTTTTAAAATAAATTTATTAATTAATTATTAATTCACAATAAATGATAATCGTTGATCAATGAAAATCAACGATTAAGATATGATAGTAACATATAGTAACATTATTTGGTAGTAATAATATCCTATCCTTAAATTAAATAATATATCAAAATAATCCATTCTCACATATTCGAAATCACCGTACTAGGAAAAAGACACGTGTCAGTCGACAGGTTGTTATTTGACTTATTTCCTTTTTAAATAAAAAATGGAACATGGCACGTTGCTTAGTAATGAGACAATTCGTACAGTTACCTAAGTTTTCTTGACGCCACTTTCTTCTCTCTCAATCCATGTGCCAACGTGGTTCTCACTTCTCAATCACAGTACGGAAAAACCGCAGTCTCATTTTCTGATTTTTTTTTTTTCTTTTACAGTAAAATTTCTTTCATTGTAGATTGCTTCTAACATGTGAAGAAGAGGAATTTAAATTTTATTAAAAAATTAGTTTTTAGACCGGTTGCCTTCTACTTTCATTTATGGATTTACAAAATTATTATCTTTATTTTATTTGTAACTAGGGAATAATGTCATTTAAAATTAGGATTAAAGTTATTACAAAAAAAAAAAAAATTAGGATTAAAGTATATCCTATAACTTTAGATAAATATGTCTATTGTTTACTTAAAGGACAACGTTTTGATTTTTTTTAACTAAAACGAATTATTTATCGTGCAACTCTTCCATCTTCACCTTGTTTGCCTTCTCTGTTTGTTCTTTCATATCGTTTTAGTTAAAAAAAAGAGACCAAAACGATGTTGTTTAAATGAATAGACATACTTATCTAAAGTTATACTTTAATATCATAAGTAGAGAAAGAAAGTAATAGAATAATGATAATACTTTAAATAATTTAATTAAATGCTATTATATTTGTTTATAATTGAAGTTATTTAGTGAATTTTTTAATTCTTGTATAATTATCTTAAATGACATTTTAAAAGGAACAGATGGAGAACAAGTCAAACTCTAATTAATCTTGGTTTACTTGTTTATTTAAATTAATTAAAAAACTAACTAAGAAGAATCTTGAGTACATAATCAAAGTATCAATAAATAAGCTTAAAAATAGGGAAATGTTATTATCTCTAAATTATGTATTTTTACTAATTATTTTTAATTATAATTTTTTAATATTTATTCAAATAACTAAGAGTATAATTTATTATTAAATTTAAATAAAAATCAGTTAATTATAATATCTGATAAAGAATAATAAGTGATTAACGGAAGACGTATTATATTACTGTTACAAAAAGAAATTCTTAAATTGACCATATTGTGAATCCTTATACCACACTACTTAACAAAATCATAATATTATTATGAATCATCATGCTTAATTTTTGAATTATCTAAAGTGCTATAAAATATTAATAATTCTTAATTCAGGTCCTGATTCAGTTAAATAGAAAATGATCTGTTATAAACTGATTTGACAATTTGTGACAACCTCTCTGATGCCTGAAGAAGTTTATAACAAGCATGCACAGTTTGAATACGAGGAATGTCAGCATTCATTAGCTCTGGATTTATACAGGAAAATAAATATCTCATGTTAAAATTTCATATGATTTAATTATGTAAAATCTCATAAAAATTGAACCTTATTATTTAATGTATGTGAAAAGAGATATAGAAACAAAAATTTCACATCACCAGAAAATCATGTAAAATCTTAATATGAGATAATCAATTCCCGTTTATACATATACATCACATATATCTACTACTCTAATGGATGCAAATTATATCATTATTCATATTTTAATTGTTATTAATATTAGATAATTAAAAATATTTTTAAATTAAAAAATTGTGATGTTTATTTTTTTTCCCCTCAATCTAAGCGTATACGTATATTTAGAAAAGAAAATAAGTAATTTGCTTGAGTTTTTGCCCTCCATAAATATAAAAAATAAAAAAAATAAAATAAAGTAAAATAAGAGAAATAAGAGAAAGCACGCGCGAGACGAGAGACACCGCCACCACGTTGGGGAGAGAGAGAGGCGAAGCAGTTAATGGCAGTTAGAGCGGTGGTAAGTTAGTTAAACGTGGTTATTGTTTTGGCTTATTAACTTAACCATGGTTAACCTCTCCCACTCTCTCTTTCTCATCTCTTCTTCTTGTGCCTATATAAACCCTCCCTCCCTCCCATTTCTCTCTAGCACACTCAACAACAAAAGCAACAAAGGGTTTGGTGTTAAAAACAGAGAAAGTAGAAAAAGCAAGCAACAATGAAGGTGCATTCTATAAGATGGTTCACTCTCTGCGTTCTGGTTATGACGCTGCTTATGGCTGCCACCAGCGCTATCAATGACAATGAGAAACACGAACATAATTTGAAAGAATCAAGGTATTTTTTGCAGTGAAAAAACAATCAAGCTTCAAGCTTCGAGCTTAAGCTTCTTCCCTGCTTCATGAGCTTGCAAATTCTATGAATTTTCCTTTTTTATTTAATATTATACATTTTTTGGGTAAAGACTAGCGAAATCGCTTTTATTTCTTTAATATTTTTCAATGATTAGAATGTGAATGTGTTTGCGACAGGGATGCAGTAGGAGAAGAGAAGCTGCAGAAACAGAGCTTGAAGAATTCGTCAATGGCGGAAAGGTTAGTGTTAATTTATTGCTACTACTACTAGGGACTTTCGAGCTTTTCCACGACGGCGTGGTGCTTATAATCACACCGTCCACGTGGAACGAAGCTATGGACAACCGTTTGATTAGGTTGAGCTGTGTTCGAGCTCAGAGGGAAACGATTCGGGGTCATTCAGATCCGATCTGAAAAATCTGAGTCGTTAATTCTGTTTTATGTTAGGAGCTAATTTTGCTCATTTTGGGGTCTGTACGGTGCCGTTTTATATTTCTTGGGATTCATCATGGGATACGCTGCTCTTCATGATTTTACAGTTGATGTTTTTTTATCTCTACAAATTTACAGGTCAGGGGATGCTTTGAATGAGCATGCAGTTGAAAATCCAGAGGAGATTGCTTCCTTGGTTGATGCGTAATATTTCTCTCTCTCTCTCTCTCTCTCTCTCTCTCTCTCTCTCTCTCTCTCTCTGTTTTTATATAAACTGAGTTATTACTTTTACTTTGTTTTGTAGTGATATTATTGATTCCTATCTCATCTCATAGGTCATGTGCTTGGTAGATTAGTTTATTTTTTGTTGTCTTGCCTCTTGGGCTTAGAAAAGAGGACTCACATGATCATTAAAACTATATCAGGATCAGTAGATTCAGCATAGCTAACACACTTGGCTTTAGTAGTACTGTATCAATAATGATTGAGATGCAGGACAAAAGAAGGATAATGCCCTTGATAACTTCTCGTGCTTCCTCCTTTTGGAATAATATTTAGATGCACTTTTCATTCTTTTTTGGAGAATTTTGTCTTGTGAAGCCTAGTCAAAGTGGTTAATTAATCCAAGTGTTAATTGAAAGCTACTACCCTGTTTCTTTTGTTTTTCATCTTGTTCCTTTGATAAGCTATAATAACGAGTTTCCACTGTTGGGCTTACCCCAAAATTTATGCCTCCTTTGTGTAAGGTTAAGAAGATACCACTAATAAATCCACTTCGTTAGAACTAGGGGAATTTAGAGCATAATTCCTCCTTTGAACAAATATCACCTCTGAAAAACAACACTACCTAAAAGAATCCGAAAACCCACTACTTTTTGAAACTTCTTATTTTATTACTAAAATATTAATATTTTGACTAATGAGACTTTAGTACGGCATTAAGTGAACTAAGTGAACGACTCTCTTTATGATAACTTGAGAAGACAAATGATTAAGTTTTAAAAACATAATTTGCGGGGAAAGCCTGATTTTTAAATTTGAAAAGATTAATCTTATACCTAAAGAATGTGAGGGAAATAAATACATTTGATTTCCCAGTCAAATGTTATTCTTTATTGCCTCTCAAAAGAATTTAGCAGGACTGCTATTGCTTTTACTCACGGTGCCATAAATCTTCATAACTCTCTCTCTCTCTCTCTTATAATAATTAAGAAATATAAATATTGCTTTTGTAAATTCTTCACGTTCTGAATTTCCCTTTCATGTTTCTAAGGAATCAACCACCATGTTCTTTGCAGATGAGATCTCTAGAAAATTGAAGCCTATATATTCTATTCGCCAGCTTAACTCACATGCTAATGTCGTGAGATCCAACCATTTCCTTCATAATAATTTTTTTTTATATTTTTTATTTTCCTTATCCGAAAATTGTTTTTCCAACTACAAACACCTTTTTATACCTAAAATCCAAGTCATAGTGGTTGTTTTTATTTTCCTTGTCCGAAAATTGTTTTTCCTTACGTATACCTGTGATTTAACTTCCTCCTCAAATTTGTTGTTTCGTGGTCCCCTTAATAGCTTCCCTAATCACATTCATTGGTGGACAGTAGTTGAAAGTTGCTATCTCCTAGGCTTGCTTTAGTAATTTGGTATATAAAATCTATTTTATTAATCTGAGTGTTAATATGGCTGGGGATACATCGAAGAAGTTATATACAAGGTATTTTCTTTATTAATATCTAATCTATGATCTTGAGGGAGCTCTAGATGTTAAGCGTTTTTTTTTCCCCTCCTTTTAGGTCATCACATACGTACATTTATATACTCACACACACATAGATAAATAATTTTTGTTTTTCACAAACTACAGGGTGTTCAATGCTTGATGAAAATTAAAATAAGTGAATCAGTACTCTCCAATAGCCATGGATAAAATAATTGCGTCATCAATTCCAAATGATTTTGTGTTAATGATTGCCTTTGCCCTCTTGATCTCGCTACCGATAGAACCAAATACAATGTTCTATACGGAGGAATTTATGCAGTTCCGAGTCCCACATCTTCTAATAAGGTGGGGTAAGCCACATGAATGGGCTACCTTTCTCCAGCCTGTCTTCATGCACAAACTCCAAACTGCACACGAGATCTGGTTTCACCACGACACTTTATACACATAGTTGTGTTTAGGCTGATCTAGCAGCTGCTGTCTGACCCACATCTATTCTATCCAACGAGACCTCCATGAATTTATTAAATGACCAGGACTCAGAACTTAATAATAACGCTTTTTACCACCGACGCCCAAAGTACTAGGCAGAAACTAGATCTTCCCCACCTTTGGCATTTATTTCTAGTAGAGAAATTCAGGTTTGACGCCAACCCCCGATTTTCCGTATGTACCGTATCATTCTATCCGTATGCATAATAATAGACCCACATGACCCACCCCACTACCCTCAGCTATGGATGGAGGGACATCAATAGTAAATGCATAGTGTTTTGCAAATTAAAGTATTAAAATGTTAAACTTTTAATTGGGTTAAATTTTTAATTCAGTTTTTTACATTATTATTTAATTATTTATTATCATGTCACTAAAATACTTTTACAACTTTAATTATTATATTTAGATTCTTTACACTAAACATGTGTTATCAAAATCAGAACGGTCCAGTGGTTGGACTCTAACTCTGGACCTCTAACAGGTCTGGTTCGGTTAATGGATCGATCATGCAAATCAAAAATTGAGTTCAATCGATGTTAATTTGATTCCGATTCGTCATTATTAATGATACTAGAATTCAAACTTAACACCTAAGAGAAGAGGTGTGTAAGGCTAACCATTAAAGTACATTACTTTTACATGTTTTATTTCTTTCATTTATATATTTTATTACATACCAGTAGTTAAATCAGTGACCTTGAGTCACCACTATTGAGTCTCACTCAGTCGATAACCAGTCCAGTTTTAATTACATTGTTAAACATAATTAAAAATCTTCATAGTAGACGAGACATCAGGCTTTTTCCGGTGCTAAGCCGGTACTTCGTCTTTTTATTTTAAAAGTTTTGTGAGAAAAAACATGACACGATCATGTGAGAAGATCATAATCATACAAAGTTAAATCAATGGTTATGATTTTGTAACTATTTATTTTACTATTTTTTCTCTCTCATCTTTTATTACCATTTATCCACCTTTGTATGGTTATAATTTCTCACTTTACCATGTCATGGGATTTTTCACATCAATCAGAGGATCCAGATCCTTTAATTTTTCTTAAAAAAAAATACTATGTTTTCATCCAAATTAAAGACAGGAATAACTTACAAACCGTGATGAGATGAAAATACTTGGTCCGGAAACATGTACGAATTTTTTTAAAAGGAATGTGGGGGGTATTAAACAGAGTTTGTTAAATTTGAACAGGAGCATACGCAATCACACGGAGAGAAGGAATCTGAATTATTTCTCATGTGGGACCGGGAATCCAATTGATGACTGCTGGCGCTGCGATAAGCGTTGGTACCTTCGGCGAAAGCACTTGGCTGATTGTGCCATCGGTTTTGGTCGCAATGCCATTGGTGGCCGCGACGGAAGGTACTACGTTGTAACCGACCCCAGCGACGATGACGCCGTTAACCCCAAACCGGGGACCCTCCGCCACGCCGTCATTCAAGACAGGCCCTTGTGGATCGTGTTCAAGAGGGACATGGTTATTACCCTAAAGCAAGAGCTCATCATGAACAGCTTCAAGACCATAGATGGTCGTGGCGTCAACGTTCACATTGCATATGGGGCCTGCATTACCATCCAGTTCATCACCAATGTTATCATCCATGGCCTCCATATCCATGATTGCAAGCAGACTGGCAATGCTATGGTTCGCAGCTCGCCCTCGCATTATGGATGGAGGACCCTCGCTGATGGGGATGGCATTTCCATCTTTGGTGCCAGTCACATTTGGATTGACCACAACTCACTCTCCAATTGCGCAGATGGCCTTATTGATGCTATTATGGCCTCCACCGCGATTACCGTTTCCAACAACTACTTCACCCACCACAATGAGGTAAATCATGGTCCTCAATAATAATTCTAAATTCTATTATTTAATAATCGTCTTAGATATGAAATAAAGATAATATTAAATAAAATTAAATATTTTTAAAACGTTATTTACATTTGTTTTTTATTTAATCATTAGGATAATAGAAATAAGGTGTTGAGTTTATTGACTTCAAAATTCTACAGGTTATGCTACTGGGTCACAGTGACTCTTATGTCCGCGACAAGCAGATGCAAGTAACCATTGCATACAACCATTTTGGGGAGGGTCTTATCCAAAGAATGCCAAGGTAACCTTTAACCATCATCTTTTAAGCGAGCCTTTTTCTTTTTCTTTTTTTGGGTCAGATATTAGTATTCTTCTTGGGTACTTCAATTGATTTCACGAACTGAGCCTTGGGCCTTGTTAGCCGGTGTTGTCTGTTGGGTTATGGGAGGCCCATTTAAAAATTGATCACTTGGGATATGAGAGGTCCTTTGAGGGGGGGAAAATTGACAAATGAATCTTTTTCCAGTCCATACCATGTGTCTCAGGAGTTACCTTTGTCTGCGCTAAATGATATCTTGTGTTAACAATGGATTGATTATTGATAATGCAGGTGCAGGCATGGGTACTTCCACGTGGTAAACAATGACTATACCCACTGGGAAATGTATGCAATCGGCGGCAGCGCTGATCCCACAATTAACAGCCAAGGCAACAGATACCTTGCCCCTCTGAACCCTTTTGCTAAGGAGGTAACATGCTTAGCACTGGCAATCCGTTGATGATGATGATGATGAACTTTTTTGTCTGAAAATGGGTAATTTGTTGTGGACAGGTGACAAAGAGAGTGGAGACAGGGCAAAACCTATGGAAAAGTTGGAATTGGAGATCGGAGGGAGACCTTCTGCTCAATGGAGCCTTTTTCATTTCATCAGGAGCAGGAGCTGCAGCAAGCTATGCTAGAGCCTCAAGTTTGGGGGCCAAATCATCTTCTTTGGTTGGTACCATTACCTCCGCTGCTGGTGTTCTTAATTGTCGGAGAGGTGTCATGTGTTAATATCAAACACTATCATCAACAACCAAAAGAAAACCAAGGGGTAAAAGCCCAAAGCAAACTTCACAAAAAAAAAAAAAAAAAAGAGTGAAAGAAAAGCATAAAGGAAAGGAAGAAAAGTTTTCATTCTTTCTTCTCTTATTATTGCGTTGTTATAGATGTATTGAGTGAGTGAGTGAGTTTGCACTTGCAGCAATGGTGGTTACACCCGTTGTTTGTCTTGTCACAAGTTAGATGTCGGGGGGAATATGTACATTTTATGTCAACTGTTATCAAATTTTTAACGATGATTGCTTAGAAGTCATGTCCCATTTTTGGAATCCTTCACTTGTGCAAGAGATTCCCCCTTAATATTCCAAGGGAAACGAAATCTATTCTCCTATCTTCCCCTGAAGTTTCTTTTTGTCTTCCTATAGACCCCCTACTGTATGGTCTTGTGACCTTGTCAAGTTCTAGCACATCTCGGTTATGTTTGTGTACCCTATATTTAGAAAACACTTGATTTGTCCCAAATGAAACGGAAAAATGGGAGGGAAAAGAAAAATGAATGTATTATTGCAATAGTTGGTTGTGTATTTTTTCCAAATCAGAATTTTTTTTTTTTATCTTTTGCCTTATTGTTTATCCTTTTCCTTTTCATGAAATTTTCGTGTTTCTCTTTTTATAAAACGAAAACGATTTAATATATTTCAATAAATCTTATAAATAAATTGCACTTTTTCTTTAAAAAAAATTTCATTAATTTATCGATTAACCCTCTGTCCAACACATGGAAGTGCGGCTCTTCCAAAACTATACATTTGCAATTCTTTGAACAGACTACGCTGTTCCTCAGTCACTAAATTAGCATTATTAAGTTACAAAAATTATTATGCACTAAAACCATAATTGTCAAATAGGTTTTGCCTATTCAGCCAAGCACATTTTATCGGTCGGGCTCACCAAGAACAGTACAGCTGGTCGACTAAATGAATTGGGCTAAATCAAAATGAATGTTTACAAATGAGAAGTTGGGCCACAATCTTTAATTATGTTTGTTAGCCCAATAAAATATGAGTAAATGTATGTACCCAAAAAGAAAAAGAAAAAAGAGAGAGCTAATGAGCGTATAAATACTTATGGCTGTCAAGATAGGTCAATATAACATTATAACTTGTTGACCAAATAATTTAACAAAGGGTTTTATTTTTCTCATGTTGTTGGAGATAAATATCTCCTATCATAGACACATAATGTGGAGGGATCCACCATTTATTAAAAAAGAAAAAAATGATGGCACAACTTTTTATGTGAAAAAAATATGAGATAGTTATCTCATGTAAAATGGGACAATGATTTCCCTTTAACAAAATATAGAATTAATTCATGAATATGTTTTCCTCCTGCTTGGCCCAACTCATGAACATAAACCCAAACTCTAAAACAAGCTCACCGCAAATATGAAATGCGGCCCCACCTGAGGTTAAAAATTTTAGAATATTAAAACATTTTATAATAAAATATGGGAAAAAAGTTTTCGATGTTACTTTAGATAACTTTATCTAATGTTCATCGAAACAACGTTGTTTTGGGGTTGAAAAATTAAAAAATTAGAGTGATAAAGACTATTATAACCCTGAAATAAATTAAAATTACAAAAATACCATGATTTTCGTCCCAAAACGACGTCGTTTTGATGAACATTAGATAAAGCTATCTAAAGTAACATCAGAAAAAACAAACCCATAAAATATTTAATGGTTAAAAAATTGACATTATTGATGATAATAGATTGAAATTAAACTTATAAAACATATTAATATTGAGTTTGGTCTGAAATAACGACACAAAGGGAGCATTCGCTAGACGGATTATTTTAAGATTCTCAGAAAATTTATCTTGAAAATTTTATTTACTCCTATTTGATAGAATTGTTAAAATTTTCTCAAAAAAATCATATTTACAGAAAAAAATTTGTGAATAAGAATGCAATAAAAAATTGTCACCATGGTGGTATTCTTGGATTACCGAGAAGTAAAAAAATGAAACACAATTATGTTGACAAAAGTAACTCTGATTTTAATAACTAAAATTTTCGTATTCTCTTCGTTCCTTGTGCTGTTGTTGTAGATGCACCTTCACTCGCTGCTCTCTCCACCACCTTAGGTTTTCGATTTCCTTTCCTTTTCTTTATCCACCTCTTCTTCTTCGATTTGCTTACCTCAATTTCCGGATCGGCGTGGCGTATTCATCTCCGATTTCGGTGTTGTTTAGGGCTCTGGTGCATTGGATGTTGTTCCTGTTGGGCTTCCTCCTTCAATGCTAAGTCTAAGCCCATTTGAGGGGTTTCCTAAAAACCCTAACCCTAGATCTCACCTCTTTTATATATTCATTAGTTGTGGGGTGGAGGCTAGGTTAAGAAATTTGAGAGAATTATTTGATTGTTTGAGCAAAGCTTTATGCTTTGCATTTGAGAGATCTCTAGATAGAGTTTGAGTGAAACATCTCTAGGGTAGTTTGATTATCACCATTGTTGGAGAGGTTGAGTTAACCACCACATTGGTGTATTCTGATTATTTGTAACCATTATTTTCATAGTGGATTTTTGATCTGGACTAGGTCTCGTGGGTTTTTACTTCTTCATTGAAGAAGGTTTTCCCACGTTAAATCTGGTTGTGTTCTTCTTCTCTCTCTCCTGTTTTGTGTTTACGTTTTGATTTTTCCGCTGCGCTGCCTGACCTGGTGAAATTCAGGCTGAGGTATTGCTGAGATCTGAGATCGAGGATCTCATTGACTGACTTTCGCAAAGGCCCCTGAGCCGATCTGAGGGAACTGAGTTTTTTCCAACAGTGGTATCAGAGCCCGAGTTCGACGGGTTCTGAGGGAGACGAGATGGAGACCAGTGGCATAACCAATGATGGAGACATGTTCAAGTTGACCGCAGATAATTTCACCTATTGGGGACCGATGATGGAAGATCATCTCTACTGCAAAGATTTACTTGAGCCCATTATCCTTGATGAGAGACCGGCAGGCACGACAGATAAGGAGTTGGAGATCCTGAGTCGGAAGGTTGTAGCCACGATCAGGAAATATATTGATAAAAGCCTCTTTGAGCACGTATCCAAACTCACGAACGCGTATGAGTTGTGGACGAAGCTGGAGTCCATGATTCAGAAGAAGACTCCCAGGAATAAAGCATACCTGGTTCGCCGACTTGTGAAGCTTGAATACAAGGACGGCATGAACATGATTGAACACCTGAACACCTATAAAGGTATTGTGAATCAGCTGTCAAAAGCTGAGATGAAAATTGATGATGAGATGCAGGCTTTGCTGCTGTTGAGCTCGCTGCCAGAAAGCTGGGATACTCTAGTGGTGACTTTGAGTAATTCAGCTCCAGAAGGAAAGTTAAAGATGGATGTCGTGACAGACAGCCCCCTGAGCGAAGAAGTCAGGAGAAGAGAACGAGGTATTTCGAGCACGTCTGAGGCCAACGTTGCTGAAAAAAAAGGGAAATCTGACTCCCGGGGTAGAAGCAAAAGTCGGGGTCGAGATCATGATAAAATAGGAAAGTCCAGAGGTCGGTCAAAACCGAAATATGAGTTAAAGTGCTTTTACTGTGGAAAGACAGGTCATAAGAAGCCAGACTGCTGGACCCTGCAGAATGATGAGAAGAACGGCTTTGTGAAGCCGGATCAGATTATTCCCAAGAAGAGGGAAGACAAGAGCACCACTGCGGTGGCTGTCAACCCGGATGCCGAGATATTCCTCCTTGGGTGAGGATAATTATTTGAATGTTGCATATGATGACTGCACCTGGATTGTTGACTCTGGTGCCTCCTTCCACGTTACTCCACTCAAAGGTTTTTTCTCCTCTTACCAAGGTGGTGATTTTGGAGTCGTGAAGATGGGAAATCAGGTGACCAGCAAGATTGTTGGCGTCGGTAATGTGACCCTGACCACGGATGTCGGATGCCAACTTGTGTTGAAAGATGTGAGGCATATACCTGACATGCGTTTGAACCTAATCTCGGTAGGCAAATGATGCCAAGTTAGTGAACTACTTCGGTAGTGTTAGATGGAAGCTGGCCAAGAGAAACTTGGTCGTGGCCCGAGGTAAGAAGGAAGGCTCCTTGTTCGTAATGCAAGGAAAGATCAATGGCGGAGAAGCCAATTCTGTCCGAGATGAACCTAGCTTTGAGCTATGGCACAAGCGCCTCGTCCATATGAGCGAGAAAGGGCTCCAGATTCTGAACAAGAAAGGATTACTGACCAGGTTGAAAGGCCAAGCGTTGGATAGTTGCATGCATTGCCTAGCTGGAAAGCAGCACCGGGTTTCTTTTGTGAGACCGGATCAACCCAGACGACGCAAGTATATTCTTGACCTCGTCCATACTGATGTCTGCTCCATGTCAGAAAAATCCCTTGGAGGAGCTCAGTACTTTGTTTCATTTATTGATGACTATTCCCGCAAAGTGTGGGTATATTTGTTGAAGTCTAAAGATCAGGTACTCCAATCCTTTAAAGAATTCCACGCGATGGTTGAAAGGAAGACTGGCAAGAAATTGAAGGTGGTCCGATCTGATAATGGTGGTGAGTATTGCGGCCCATTTGATGCATACTGCAGAGCGGCCGGGATCCGACTTGAGAAGACGCCCCCCAAGACTCCACAGTTGAATGGACTGGCTGAGAGGATGAACCGAACTATTGAAGAGAAGGTCCGAAGCATGTTATCCAATGCCGGATTGCCAAAATCATTCTGGGGAGAAGCCGTCAAAACAGCTGTTGACTTGATCAACCTCTCACCATCACGACCACTTGAAGGAGAAATTCCAGAAGAAGTCTGGACAGGTCGGAAAGCGGCCTATAATCAATTGAAAGTGTTTGGATGTCGAGCTTTCGTGCATATCCCTAAAGATGAAAGGGCAAAACTTGATGCGAAGGCAAAAGAATGCATTAATCTTGGTTCGCCGAAATGTGAGTTCGGGTTCCGACTTTTGGATCCAATCAATAAGAAGATCGTGAGAAGCCGAGATGTGATCTTTCATGAAGATGAGAAC